GAGAATAGCACAGGCCATATCTTGGTCGATCAAATTATGTCTTACAGCCTCTTCCACTGTAAGTCTGTGTCCTGTTCTTGGATCCACTATGCCACCAGCAAAAAGCTGAGCTTCTAGCAGCCGGACAGTGACCTGCCTATCTATCAATCCTTCCTGAACTGCACGGAAAATGCTAACCTTCCGGCCTGATTTAAAGCTCAGCATCCCCCCTGCCAATTGCTTGACAGGCAGCAATTTCAACCCTGATTCCTGGTGGACAATACATCTCTGCATCAAGTCCAGTAAACTGATTTTCTCAGCTGTATTGGGGTCTATCAAATTTTTGGATGACCTCAAGTAAGACTCCAACACAGAATGAAGATGTGGAGTGATGAAACCTTGAAGAAAAGCCTCCTCTAGGTTAACACAGTTCTCACTGGGGGAGAGACAGAAACCTCCAGTTGCCAGATGAGCTTCTAAGATTTTCAGTCCAACTCTCTCACTGATTGTTCTGTTTTCAATTGCTTCCACCACAGAAAGAGGGCCTTTGCCCTCAGGGAGCCTGCTTATTAAGGACAGGGCATCCTGTAGCTCCTGGAGCTGCTGGTACATCTGGGGACTAATGAGGTTTTGTGCTAGGCCCTCCTCCAAAGAAAGCTTTTCACTGGTCTCAGGAGCAATTAGGCCAGACATGATAACCTGGGATTCTAGGAGCACAAGGCCTGTGTCTTGGTCAATGAGGCCCTTTTGCATGGCTCTGAAGATGGGAAATATTTCCACTGTGCCTAGGTCAATCACCCCAGCAACTGCTCTGCAACCCTAAAAAGAAAATGAAAAAAGAAAAGAGAATCAGTGCCAATGGAGAAATATAATACTTGAAAGGAGTCAATTAAAGAACTATAGTATATCAAATTCCAACTACCAGAAAAACCTAGCCTGGAATAAACCCCAACATGTAGGAAATATTCTCAAGTCTGACAGTATTAATACTAAAAAAGAATTTTTCTAAACTGCAGAATGTTTAACAGGACTAGAATCTCAAAGATTACTTGAGGGATGGTAGCATTAAGCTTATCTGAATAATAAGCTCTACAAAGTGGCAAGCAATGAAAAGTGAAAGGATGGCAAGTTCTAAGACTAAATCACCACAAAGGTTCTTATAGGCACATACCAGTTCCTAAAAAGTGAAAATTCAACCCCTTATAACAACTTCTCAGTGTTGCAACCGAGGCAGAAGACTCTTGAAACAGCACTTTCCTGCTGATGAGTGCATCAGGACTGGTCCATAAGATTAGAAGAGAGATTTAAGCAGCCTAATAGCCACAGAACACTAATGCATCCAGGGAGATGGGCCTATGTATACTATTCAAGCAGCTGTTTAAGAGCGGGGGACAATCATACTCTGGGTAGTCAATGCTAGGTTCTCCCAAAGCAATGGCTCTGAGTTAAATTAGTTCTAGGAATTGGAAGTAGCGAGTCAAGGAAGTGAACATGCTGGGAACCCTTGACCCCAGAACTGCTCTTTTCATCCAGGCTAGTATGAACAGTACAATTAGGATTACAGCTACTACTTACTGATCCTTTAATATATTTATTATATTTATATTAAATATAATATATATTATACTGATATTTCACTCTCACAACAGTTTTATTTAAGTAATTATTTTAATCTTTAGTTTACAGATAAGAAAACGAGGTTCAGAGAGGCTGGGTAACTACACCAAGGTTACTAAACTAAATCTTATGCTATTTACTGCCTCCCCAGTTAGATCCAGAAGGTGACATGCATAAAGGACAAGTACAGCAGATTCACATCTTATACAGGAGTTATGGTAATCTCTTGTAAAATCTATGCATAGCTCTGAAAGAATTACCATTTTGAAGCTTTTAACCACAGAGTGGTGGTATTTGGAAATAAAGTGTTTCATGTTGTAGGACATTTTATCAGTTTTATTAATCACCAGTTTCCAGCTCTTCTTATTCATAGTCATTCCCTTCATTTTCTATAAATGATTTTATCTATTCCTCTCTTTGGTCACTGTTACTTTCTGGTTCTTACTTAACTCTTTAATTTACTGATGAAAAATCTTGTTGAAGCAACTGCCAGTCACTTCTAAATAATTCATTTCAAAAAGGTCAGTGAAAAAAAGGAAGACCCTCAATGAGATGGACTGACACAGTGGCTGTAACAGTGGCTTCAAATACAGCAATGTTTGTGAGAATAGTGCAAAACCAGGCATTGTTTTGTTCTGTTGTACATAGGGTAGCTGTAAGTCAGAACCAACTCAACAGCATCTAAGAACAATAACAAAACCTCATCACCCAAGTTACCCCTTTAAGATGCAGGAATAGAAGAGAACTCCTGTGAGAAATGTTTATATACTTCACATCACTGACAGTGTATGTTTTATGAATTCCCAAATGGAGATATAAAAAAAGCAATGTGAGAACCAGGGTAAAGGAAGAAAGGATGTATAGCTGGGCCTTAAGACACAAGGAATTCACAGCTGTGCACATCTAAGAAATGCTATTAGAGACATCACAAGAGGAAAGAAAAAAAAAAAAAACAATCAAGAACCAAGAAAGAGCCAGCACTAAAGAAGCCTGAAAAGTTCAACCCTACATCTAGCAATAAAAGCAGAAATTTTCACTAGTCCTTCAGAAAATGGGCAAGTTTATGACAATGTACTGAGTTTTTCACAAAGCTGAACATATTTAATATAAAGGACTGTTTACAGTCTATTTTCTTCTAGATTACTTCTCCACTACCTCTTTTATGATGGCAATAATACTTGGCAATTCTGAAAAATATTCTCATTGGGAATATAAAAAATAAAATAAAATAAATGATGCATTTCATTTCCAGCTCAGTGAGAATGCAAACTCTAATAAGAGCAGGTACTTTCCCCACTCAGTGTCTCAGAACACTATCTGAAGTTCAATAAATATTTGATGGATAAATAGTAAGTAAATTCTTAAAGTCATTCACTTGTTTTCCCCCAGATTTTAAAAACATGCACCGAGGCTCTCAAGCTTGATTAGCTTGAGATCCGCATGTTATAAAACATACAGAATGGACAGCAAAAGAAGGAGCAGGAGACTTCATTCACATTTCCACCTCACCCACCATATGAGGTTTATTAATGGAAGAACTGGCAGAACTCTCCACAATACTTAAAATTTTGTTATTCTCTACTTTGGTTTTCTGGTCCAGAGTGTAAAGTTTAATTTGTTTACATTAAACCTGTAAATTATGGAACTCTGCTTGTTTCTATTTTATAGAGATTGATGGGAAAAGTGTCCTATCATATGATTTTATGAGATACATGAAAAATTCCTTTTACAAAATCCATGTAAAGACTATTCAGAAACAGACAATATGATAAAAGAAAAAATTCTTTTAAAAACTTCTAATTTCTTCAGGGAGATTCATAGAGTCTCAGAAATGCTGACAATGAGGAAAGGCCTAGAATCCAGCCAAAGAGAAAGACTACAGTGTTCTTTCTAACACCCTAGATACTGGAGGATAGGCAGGAAGCACTGAGCTGGGAAGTGGTCCAGAGCAATCCACTTCAGCCCTACCAAACATGGATATTCTGACCTCAACAAGCACAAAAAGACAGAGAGAGAAGAAGAAAGAAAACACAAAAGGCTTCTACTTACCAGAGTTGCAGGGTGCACCTTGGGCAGGTAAAAGAGAGAGCCTTATGGAGCAGCTCAGCCGTATCACACACACAGTGTAAGCTTGGTGTTAGCGTCCAGCATGCGACTGTTTGTTTTTTGCAAAAAAGAACCCCAAACAGGTCGTCCTCTTTTCCCTTTGTGCATTTGTGCTTAAACTCCAAAGGGTTAGTGAAACTTGTAAGCAAGGATGTCAGTTAATCAAACAATACTTCACATGAAACACACAAACGGTACAGGGGACACATCATGCTCAATGTGGTGGTGCTCAGCAGCTTGTCTTTCTTACTTTTTTTTCTTCCCCTCTTTTAACCTTTTATAACGAGAACTGGGTGTTCTCAGCAAGCAATTGTTAAAACTTTTCACATACTCCCTTATATGGTGAAGCAACAAGCCATTAGAAGTGGGCTACCTTACAGAGAGAATGCTAAACCAGCACATTCTTTTTGGTAATACACTATCAAGTCGTAGCTGGTTTTGTCTTGTGGTCTTTATGATTCTAGCTCCTCCTGCACAAATTTCATATCAAAGAACCAGAACCAAGGTATATTTCGTCAGAATATCATTTTCAATATCACCTGAACCAAATTTGATTACCACATGAACTTAAGTTTTGACCTGTCCCAATAAGTTGGCCATTGCTTCACAACATAGGAAATAAGCAGGCAAACACACATATATATCCCAGAGACACATGTATATAATATGTTAAGTCTACATATACACACACAAGTATCCAGGAAGAACTTAGGACAAGGAGCAGGAACTTCAACAACTTTCATATGGTCCAGGAAATGAACATGGAAGAAAACTGGTAAAGATGCCACATGATGGGATGACTATGAGTGAAGGGAACCAGCGTCTCAGTCAGTGAAGCTAACCCACCAGTTTGCTTTAGAATGGAACATTTCACATTTATTTACTCATATTTGAAAATAATATAAGGAGGGAAGAGGTTCATGGCTTTTTCTTCCCCATAACCAGAACTCTTGGCTTTCAACTTCTGAATGACAATGTCATAAAGGAGTAATCCGATGTAATACAGACCTAGCAGTAAATGTTCTCCTTAACAACAGTCAACCACAAAATGGCAGACATTAAAAAAACTTGAACCAGGTCTAAAGGCTTAGGAGTAAGTGCCTTCTAGTGTTTTTGACTGACCAACACATCATGGAACCCCAGTAAAGAAACACAAGACAAATGGCTGCTAATGTGAGGTTAAAAATTAAGTTACATTGGTCACAGAAAGCTAGTGATTATGACTCTCAATCGGCCAAGCTATTTTCACACCATTCAAAAGGTACCCCCCAGTATTTGCAGAGAAAAACTAAAAGTACCTTTTGTTCTGTCTGCTGGGCCAACTGGCTCTGAAGCTGTTGAAGCTGGTTTGATGAACCATCACAAAGGTCATGATAAGCATTATTCAGGGCATTCAACTGCTCAGATATCTGTTCCTTCTCTTTTTCTGAGAGCCTAAAAGATGAAGCATTAAAGCTCTTTTAGAGAGATACCATTCTCCAAACTGTCCACTATTGCTTCAAAATCTTTCCTTTTTTACCTTGGATTATATATGCTTCTTTGTCATTGTTACCTATGAATCATCTGGTCAGTCTTCCAGACTCAGTAAAGACTTTAGAATCCAACGCATAGTTTTCCTCTCTATAACAAATGATAATTTATCTATTACCCACCTATCCAGCTTAACCAAGCTTAAAAATTTTGTCATATTTCCTTCAGATCTTTTTCTAAGGAATAAAACATACCAGATACGATTAAAGCCTACTGTGCCACCAATCCCATTCCTGTTCCTTTCTGCCCAGAGTAACCACCATCATGAATCTGGAGAATTTTACAATTTGTTTTTTTCCCTCCACAGTATGTTTTTAAGAATTAATTATATTGCTTCATATTACAACTATCCCATAAACCTCACTGACATTTCTCTAATCTTTTGAGTCCTCCATTTTCTCTTAATCTATCAGTCCTCTTTATTACCTTTAGTTTTGTCGCTAGAGCCCAGACCCCACAGGCCATCTTCTCAATCTGTCCCTTACTATTACCCTTGCACTCTTCCCTCCCTAATCTGATAAAGCCCCAGCCTGATCAATCAAACATTGGACTTCTCTGTTCCCACACCCAGGCAGCTAAGTACTTCCAGTGGTGGTGGGGGTAGGGAGGAAGAAAGGAGAAGGATCCTACAAAGGTATAGAGAGATCTTACTGATTTCCAGCCTCAGTGCTTCCTGACAATCCTCTTGAAGGCTCCCATCCAAGCCCTCACCCCCGCTCCCCCGGCACTACTCTAACTTCCAGCAAACTACTTCACATTTTCAAAGAAAAAATACAGGCCATTTGGCACTAATTCTCTTATTTTCTGACTTCACACCTAGCAAATTTACCTCTATGAATACCTTTCTCCTCACCTCCCTCACTTGGAACCTTAGAGCAACAGCTGTCTCATCTCCTGTTTAAGCTTGTATTTTCTACTTATTAATGAATTTCAACCTCTTCCGTGTTCTCTAGAACCTCTCTCCTATTACTTTGATCTCATTCTCTCTTATGGTCTTATATACCTAAATTCCTCTTTTCTTTTAAGAAAAGAAAACTCTTTCCACTCCAGTTACTTACTATATTATCTCTTTACTTTCCTCATGGCCAACCTTCTTGAAGGAGAAGTCTAATTTCACTCTGTGTTCCTCATCTCTCATGTGCTTCTAATCATACCAAAATTGGCATCACTCCCCAACTTCTCACCAAAGTTACCAAACACATTCCAGCAGCAACAGAAACTGGGTTTTTAACATTTCTTGACTTCTGGTCACTCCTTTTTTGGCCTCTGTTCTCTCTTTTGTTCTGAGGTATCACTCATAGTTTTCCTTTTACTTCCCTGAGATTTCCTTTACAAGCTACCTACTCCCTGTCATCAAGTCAATTGCATAGTGACCTCCATAGGGTGTCCAAGGCTGTAAATCTTTATGGAAGTAGATCGCCCCATCTTCCTCCTGTGGAGCAGCTGATGGTTTGAACCATTGACCTTCTGGTTAGCAGCCTTACCCATTGTACCACCAGACCTTCCTTTTCATAAGCCAAGAAGCCCTAAAAAGCCATTTTAAACTAATTTACTCATATGGGTTCTACTACTCTGATGACTCAAATTTCCATCAGTTTGTTGTTGTTGTTGTTGTTATGTGCCATCGAGTCGGATCCGACTCATAGCGACCCCTCCTTGGGTTTCTAAGGCAGTATCACTACGGAAGTAGATTGCCCCATCTTCCTTCCGAGGAGTGGCTGGTGGGTTTGAACTGCCAGCCTTTCTGGTTAGCAGTTAAGTGCCTTAGCCACTATGCTACCAGAGCTCCTTAGTTCTAAACTCACATATATAGCATCCCATTGTTCCATTTTTAGTGGAACTATGCAAGGCATAAATAAATATATTAAGTACTTTCTAATACATACTAGGCATTGCCACTCCAATGTCCTACAGATTCTTCACAATGTCTAAAACAAAAGCCAGTCCCTCCTCCCTCAACCTACTCCTTTTATCTTGGTTAACAGTATTACCATATACCCAATGGCCTAAGCCAGAAACCTTGGAGTTATATCTGATAATTTTCTTCTGTCATCAAACTCTATCAATTCTTATCCTTAATAATTTGTCCCCTACTTTCCATTCCTTGTCATTTCTTGCCTGTATTACTGAACAGTCTTTTAATTGATCACTCAGCTTCTCTTGCCTCATTTCAATCCATACTCTATAAAACTGTTATAGCAACTTTTATAAACAAAATTCAATCACATTTAAAATACCTCCCACAGCCAACAAGGTAAAACGAAAACTCCTTAACATGAGGTACAAGGCTCTTCATGATCTGGCTCATGCTACTTTGAATTCTCCAAGCTGACTTCTCATCATGATCCAAAACTTCAGCCAGGTATAGCAGGTCTCCCAGATGTGCTATAATCTCCCATTTGATACTCACTTATGACCATGCTTGGCCAAGAAGATCTGTGAAGTTTTGATGGCCTCAGAGACTTGTTCTTTCTTGGTCGTCAACTCCTCTGCTAGAATCTATCCAGTAGAAATAAAAAGAAAAGCTTTAGTATCCGTGGTAGTTAAGGTTATATGTCAACTTGGCTGGGCCAAGTTTTGAATGGCTGGGCAGCTGGATGTAGTTATTCCCCACAATGAGACTAGTAATTAACTCCATCTTGGAATCTTCTGTGGGCAGTTGAGTAGCTGCCTTAGGGATGTGGTCTGTTTCCAGTATGTAAGAAGATGTTTTGAGAAAGGTCTTGAACTTTTTGGCACGCTTGGACTCTGCATGTAGCAGAGTCTTAATTCAGCAGCCTGCCATGTTGCCTGCTGATCTTGGAACTGTTTCTGAATTTGAACTAGTGGCCTGCCGTGTTGCTTAACAATCTTGGGACTATACCATTTTACTTGTGGAGCCTGGGTTTGTCAGCCTGAGTTAAGAGAAGCCTCCAGCTCCAGTGGGCTAGGAGCATGAGGCGGAGCTGAAGCCCAAGGTATAGGAGCCTTCATCCAGCCACTAGAGCTAGCACTTTGAACACAGACTTCTAGTCTCCTAAACTGTAAGAGAATAAATCCCTGTTTGTTAAAGATATCCACTTGTGGTATTTCTGTTATAGCAGCATTAGATAACCAAAACAGTACCCAAAGAATTAAAGAATCAAAAATAATTAGACATAACTTTTAAAATATCCTAGGAAAAAATTATATTGTGTCCAGGTAGAGAAAGATGGACTGTTCACTCACCTGCTGTTCCAAAATAGCCTTTTCAATGTCTGTTGACTCTTTAGTCTGGGATGAGGTAGTCTTTCCTTGTGTATTCCTTGCTAGGGTAGACACCCAGCCCAAAAGTTCTTTAACTTTCTCTACATGTTCTTGTTTTTCCTCTTCTACCACTTTCTAGAATAACAGATTGAAAATCAGTAACCTGGTCAATGATTTAAAAAAAAAAAAAAAACCTCAAAGTCAAACTCACTGCCATCAAGTCGACTCTGACTCATAGCAACCCTTTGGGTTTCCAAGATGGTAAATCTTTATGGAGGTAGATTGCCCTGTCTTCTTTCCACAGAGTGGCTGGTGGGTTTGAACTACTAATCTTCTGGTTAACAGTCAAATGCCTTAGTCACTAGGCCACCAGAGCTCCTTAATGTCTTATTAGACATTGCAAATTTCAGATTTCTTAAAACAGAGATGCTCAAGATACCTAATCAGCTGGCAGCTAAAACAACCCAAATTAAATATGACTTACTTGGCCTATAACATTACTCACATGTACTTAAATATATGACAGTGACAAGTAAATTCATTACATCTAAGTTAAAAAAAAAAAAAAAACCAAACTCAGTGCCATCGAGTTGTTTTCTGACTCACAGCAATCCCTCCTTGAGCTTCCAAGGAGGTATCTCTATGGAAGTAGATTGCCCAATCTTCCTTCTGAGGAGTGGCTGGTGGGTTTGAATCACCAGCTTTCTGGTTAGCAGTCAAATGCCTTAGGCACTACACCACCAGAGCTCCAATAACTAGGTTAGCACTTTTCTAAAAAATCAGTGTTTTACACACTGCCATTAACTTGATTCCAACTCATAGTGATCCTGTAAGATGTAGTAGAACTGCCACATAGGGTTTCCAAGGCTGTCATCTTTACGGAAGCAGATGGACACATCTTTTTCCTATGGAGCAGGTGGTGAGTTCAAACCGCTCACTTCTCAGTTAGTAGCAAAGTGCTTAACCACTGTGCCACCAGGGTTCCTTCCCAGCATATGATAGGTACTCCATAATTATTGATTTTGAAAAAAAGCCCTTCACATGTCGAATTTTCTTCATTTTCATCATTGTTACATTTTCAGGTGAAGAAACTAAACCTATAGAGAATAAGTGAGGTAGGTATTGACATAAAGGAAGTTTTCTATTAATTTACATGGGCAAAAGATGCTATGGCTAATGTTTTCAACAACATTCCTTTTATAGAAGGACTTGAATAACTTTCCACACATTTATTTACTGATTACATTTATTCTTTTGCAAAACCACAGTTTTTTTTTTTCAATTACAAAATGATTACATACCCACTACAAACAAATCTGAGATGTGTATGTTCCCTTAATCTCATTTCCTCAGAAATTTGGTTTATACACTTCTCAACCTGTTCTTATGCTCATATTATGCCTCTGTGTGGTGCCCACACATTTTTTTTTACAGAAATCCTAAGTATATTTCTACCATGCGTTTTTTCCCCCATATTAATGTATTATGATTATCTTGCCATATCTGTTGATAGACATATTTCTTTTTAACAGTTTCATAACACTCCATTTCATGGAATTCTGATTTTTAAAAATATATCCCTTTAACAAATTATGGTTTACTTTATTGCAGATCTTTGTTCACATCTCTTTCTTCATGTACTTCTACTATTTCTTCAATAAAGATATTAAGAGGTTGCTGTTGTTGTCGTGTGCTGTGGAGTCGGACCCGACTCATAGGGACCCCTCCTTGGGTTTCCGAGGCAGTATCACTATGGAAATAGATCACCCCATCTTCCTTCTGAGGAGTGACTGGTGGGTTTGAACTGCCAGCCTTCTGGTTATCAGTCAAATGCCTTATGCACTATGCTACCAGAGGTAGGAATGCTAAATATGTACACTTTAAATTTTGAAAGATAAGGCACAGGGTTTTTTTTTTCCATGTGCTTTCAAGGTGATTTAGACTCCAATTGTCCTCACCTCCTCCTCCTCTAGCCTCCGGAGTGCATCACTGATGTATTTCACGTGCTGAGTTGTTAAGGTGACCAATGCTGTGTAGCGAGTCCTTAAGTCCATGAACTGTGGTTCAAAGAAATAATAGATAACTTATTTGCCAGAAAAGTACATTTAAATAACTGAAAATAAGAAGTTTCCATATAGTCACATGTTCAACAGAAAACTCACTGCCGTCAAGTTGATTTGGACTCATAGAGACCATATAGGACAAGGCATAACTGCCCCATAGTTTCCAAGGCTATAAATGTTTACAGAAACAGACAGCCTCACCTTTCCCCCATAAGCAGCAGCTGGTAGGTTCAAACCACCAAGCTTTTGGTTAGCAACCAAATGCCTTAACTACTGTGCCACCAAAGCTCCTTGTCCAACAGACAGGGGAATCCTAAATCAAACTGCAAGGCCCAGACAAGTGAGTCTTTCTTTTTCCTTTTCTCACCTCTTGTGTGATGGCATCTGAAGAGGAAAGCACACGACGGCGCTTGCCAGGGGATTTCTGCTGCGATTCCACAAAGGCCTTATATGTCATCAGTTGTAATTCATAGTCCTGGGGAGGGGGGGCAGATATTTTTACTACGTTTATGTAGGGTTTTATAGCTCACTCATGTCATTTGATAGAATCATAGCATTATATTGCTAGAAGTGATTTTAGTGATCATTTATGCTAGAGGCTAGCAGAATATACAGATAGAAAATAGCAACTACTCAACTCTACACTGTAGTACAGAAACAGCCAAAGACAATGCATAAATGAATGAGCTGTGTTACAATAAAACTTTATTTATAGACACTGAAATGTCAAGTTTTATAATTTTCTTATGTCATGAAATATTCTTTCAGATTTCTTTTCAATCATTTCTCATGAGCCATACAAAAATAGGGGATGGGCTTTATTTAGCCTGTGGGTTATAGTTTGCTAATCCCTGAATCTGCAGTTTGCTGACAAAGTCTCTCATTTCACAGAAGGGGAAATGGAGAGGCAAAGTGAATTTCCCTAATTACCTGAGTCAATGAGTAGCAGAGTCAAGATTAGAATGTCAGTTTTCTAATCCCTAAGGCAATGCTCTTCTCGTTTCACCATGCTATTCTGCTGCTTCCTCTCCAACTCTAGTCCAGGCCCTCTTTATCCCTGACATGGACAGTTACAGTACCCGCTTATTTACTCTCATAGCTTCTAGTCTCACTTCCACTTCATTTTTCTATCCTGCTACCAGAACAACTTTTCTAAAACACAAAGATGACCATGTTCCCCTGCTTAACTCCTTCAATCACCTAGAGTACAGAAGTCACTACTTCTCATGTATAATACACTCTCCAGCTATGGCAGAATACTTGCTATTCAAAATAACTGTATTTTCATTCCTCTGTGCCTTCATTATGCAGTTCCTTGCCTAGAATGTCCTGCTCCTGTTGATTACTTAGAAAACTCTAGGCAGAAGGAAATATGAGTTCCTTAACCATCCCACAAAAAATTACAGTAGTAATAATAAAATATTATTAATAATAATAGAAGTAATTTTTACCATTTACTGAATGTATTGTAAGTTTGAGACACTGCCTTATCTATATATTACCTCATTTATCTTTACAACCACCTGGTGAGGTAGTCATTCTTCTTATTTTATAGACATAGCAACAGAAATTCAGAGAAGTTAAGTAACTTATTCAAAGTCTTAAGCCTAAAAAATGATGAAGACAGAATTTGACCTCAGGTCCTTTGACCCCCAAAGTCTTCCGCTATTAACTAAAAAATACATTCATTCATTCAAAATATATTTGTTGAGCATCTATTTTGTGCCATTGTACACACAGTAGGGAATGAATCAGACAAAATCTTGCTCTTTGGAACTTACATTCTAGTAGGAAAGGCACATAATAAACATAAGTATGTGACAACAGGTCATTTTTATTTAAAGATGTCAGAGACATAGGGAAGGGGCAGGTCATACATGGCTTCAAAAATCACGTAAGAATTTTATTATGAATATAATATGAAACCACTGGAGAGTATTGAATAGAAGAGTGACATGATCTGATTTGCTATTATTTCATCTATTCTAAGATGCACATTCCCCCATATTTAAATATCTCTAAAACTAGAATCTGTCTTATAAGCAATGCAATATCACGTAATTGGCTGAGTTTTTTTTAATCTCCCCCGCCTCTCCTCAAGCCCCCTAATTCTGAACTTGTTCACTGACTGAACATGAAATTTAATGTAAAGAGAAAAGCTCAGGATAACTCTTGGGGTTTACTTGCCTCAGGTACTAGGAAAATGATAACACTGATTCCTTAGACAGGAGGTAAGATAGGTATGAAGTAGATTTGAGAGGAAATCCCAAAACTTCTGTTTTTAGCATGGTAAGTTTAAGAGGCCAATGGGTCATCCAAGTGGAGCCTCCTCACATCACAGCTATTGTCTGGCATTGCACTTAAAATCCCCTACTGTGGGGCTGCAGAAAGTGAATACATCTGCATTAACTGAAGGACAGGGCTAGTCTCTAGCAGAAGAGCTCTATTTATTTGTGCAGAAAGAGAACCCACAGTGACATGCAGATTTTCCTAAGATGGAGTTCCTTGGTGTCCCTTTTGGGATGCGGTAGAGTTACCTTTACAATGGTGGAGTACTGCTGGGAAAATTTCTGACATTGGTCCAGTTTTGTCTGATTTCTCTCAATTTCTGCAAACAGATCCTAGAAACCAAAATATCATAACAGTATCATCATCCTCATCATGTAAACAGCTCACATTTTGAGCATTTATGATGTTCTATGGTAGTGGTTTTCAAACCTTAGCTACATCAGAATCATCTGAAAGGTTTGTTAAAAGACAGATTGCTGGGCCCCATCTTGAGAGTCACTGATGCAGGAGATTTGGTGTCAGGCCGAGAACCTGCATTTATAGTAAGTTCCCAATGATGCTGACACAGTTGGTGTAGGGTCTACACTTTCACAACCACATGTATCAATTAATTTAACCCTAACAACAATAACCTTATGAAGTAGGAAGATACTATGGCTCTGTTCATTTCACCGAGGAGGAAGTAGAATACTAAGTGGTTAGGTAATTTGGTCAAGGTTTCACAGTTAGTTAAGTGAGTGAGCTAGGTTAGGAATCTAGGCAATCCAACTTCAGAACTCATACTTTTAACCATAATGCTAAACAAAACAAAAGAAAAACCAACAAATAATCACAAAAGGACAGATATTGTATGACTTCACTTTTATAAAGAAAAGAATAGGCAAAGTACAGAAAACAACATTCTTTGATGGTTACCAGGAATGAGGGGGAAAGAAGCGAAAACACTTTCTAGATAGTAGACACTTGTTACTTTTGGTGATGGGAAAGGCAATACTGAATGTTAGTGAAGGCTGCACAACTTGACCAAGGTAAATAATGACACAACGAAGTACACAAGAAAAAGGGATGTTTTTGGTAAACACTATAGCATATGCAGTTTCACAACAACAGCAATACATGTATGGTTATACAAAAAATATATGTATGGTTATATAGATAAGTATGTATATATGTGTACAGGAAAGTATATGTATGTACACACATGTACATGTATGGGTGTAACTGAAGACATAGACATGTCTGTGGGGCATATATATTCATACATATAATCAAGCACATGGGGGCACAGTTACAGATACTTCCTAGACATAAACAAACACCTTATGGGTTAAGTTTACTGAGTTTAAAGGCTGAAGACCACAGTCTTATGGGAAAACTCAGTCAACTGGCATAAAATAGTTCATAAAGTGTATGTTCTACATTTTAATCTGGTGAGTAGCATCTGGGGTCTTAAAAGTTTGCAAGTAGCCATCTAAGATTAAAAGAGAAAGAAGGAAACCAAAGACTCAAATAAGAAACTACTCTATAGGACTAACAGCCCACATGAACCATGGCCTCATCTATCATGAGTCCAGAAGAACCAGATGGTGCCCACCTACCACTACCAACAATTCTGACCTAGGATAGATGGACCTGGACAGAAAGGGAGAAAAATGTAGAACAAAACTCAAATTCTTAAAAAAAAAAAAAAAGGCTACAGTGACTGGACTGATTGAGACCAGAGTAATCCCTAAGACTGTCATCCTAAGACACCCTTTAAACCTAGAACTGAAACCACTCCTGTAGATCACCTTTCCGTTAAATAAGATTAGCTCATAAAATAAACAATTTCACCAGTGAGTAATGAATGTGCTCTTAAAAAAAAAAAAAAAAAAAAATCAACTATTTAAGACCAAATGGTCAACATTTACCCTAAAGTAAAATGAGATGCTAAGGGGGGATGGGGAGGCAAGGAAGTTAGAGTAATAGAAATGAAACAACCAAATTGGAAATAATGAGAATGTTGATACAATGTGAAAAATGCAACCAGTGTCACTGAACAAATGCATAGAAATTGTTAAATGGAAACTTAATTTGCTATATAAATTTCCCCCAAAAACACAATAAAATGCAATTTAAGAAAAAATGAAAAGCAACAAATAAGAAGTGCTTTAAATGAAATAATTTTGTTCTGCTCATAGCTTTCCCTGGGTTTTTGTTCCCTGGTATCATAATCCTAGTAAAATAAAATGTAACATCAAGAAACAAAATCAAGATAATTTTAATCTGTCAATCTAGTGAATTCAGTATATAGTCATAGAAAGTCACCATTGCAAGGAACGTTATAAGTCTTCTGGTCTAAACATAAGACCAGTATCTGAAGACTCTCCTGCCTGAACCCCTTTTAGAAGACAGGACTTGGAATGTCTTGCCATTTTGGGAAAGCTTTAAGTGCTAAAACATCATCCTCTTTTATGATACTCACCGTCTGCTGGCTGAGCTGCTCTGATAGCACTCGGCTATCCTCTGCCTGGCCTGGTTTCATCATTTCCTGTTGGGCAGTGGTTTCCTCAATCCACTGGATGAGAGTTCCATGGGAAGCTCGGTATTCTGCCAGAACTTCCTGGATACTTTCTAGTTCAGATTGGCTGGAGGAGCAAGGGAACAAAGCTATTAATCAGATAGCTTGGTAAATACAATAAAGTAAATGAAGGATTCCCTCTTTAGCCCATGCCTCCAATTGGGTTTGACCACAGAAGATACATCTTCTTTGTGGGAAACAGCAATGCAAAGCTGAGTGAGACATGTATCCAGTGCCCTGTGGGGTAAAAAGTGAATAGAACATAGTTGTATTCTCTAAGTCCTGGAAACTTCCTTGTGGCCTGGCATCCCATGATAAACCCTGTCAAATTTTTCACCTAGGCTGTCAAGGATCACCAGGGTTGCCAAAAAGGTAGCACTGGCAGTATACTTAGGTATCTTGATGACAGAGCATCACAGCTATGATTTATGATCACTATAATTTCTAAGGGAGAAGTTGGGGAGGAAGGGAGAGGGATGTTTAAAAATAGTAGTTATTTACTATGTCAACCCAGCCACCTACTTACACTACTTTTGTTGGTCTAATCAGTCTCGGGATAGTAATTCAACTAGAGAGATTCAATTTAAATTTATAAAAATCACAATATCCCCCTCCCTCCATATTTCTCTAAGCAGGCTGACTTAAAAAAGGTATCATTTATTTTTCTGCTTTCTTATTCTAATCTGTTATCAGAAGCAGGATCTCCAGTAACAGTAAAAAAAAAAAAAAAACTACTGAGTTAGCAAATAAGGATGGAAGCAAGACATTCTGCAAAACCCCACTATGAAAAATGGCTCATCTTTGGATTCCAAACAAGTGAAAAAGAATAGAATCCAGCTATATCCTTGAGAAAACCCACCAGGCCACCTTTCTGGTCTATATTCTAAGAAGTCATTGTCATCAATGGCTTAATTAGATAAACCCTTGGGACACTAGGGAGGCATTGCTAGTAAGAGAGCAATTGCTGGATCCAAAACCAAGCCTCAGGTCTGCTTTAAGGTTGGTGTTCCAACATTCTGTCACCAATCTCATCCAGAATTTATGCTGTTATTTAATTACTACTCTTCTCTGTCAATTCTTGTCTTTACATAAGAACACACAGGGATAATTCTGTTTTTGTTTAAGACCCTGTCCCTAAACTCCAAAGGGAGTGAAAGGTCCACCACTCACCGGGTCTCGATCTGACTAATGACCCGGTGCCAACGTTCCTGAAGTTGGGAGCCTTTTTCCTGATAGCGCTCCAAATCCAGGTTTTGCTCCGGTGTCAGACGACTCAGCTGCTCTGCCACTACCTTGGCCTTGGCAATTTCCTCATCCAGGACTGCAAACACTGAATTCTTGTCCTTCACATCACTAAGCCAATGCTATAAAAACGTAAGTACAGTAATAAGTTAAATATTTTCCATTCTAAAAAGGATTCTCACCAAGGTAGAAAATAGGACATTTTCTATTTGTTCCATATTACATCTGTAATTAAGAGCCTAGACTCAAATGTCTGTGGCAGAACAGCCTCCACAGGTCATGGCCCTTGCGTTGGACACTGGAAAATCAAGGGTAGGTAGCAAAGAACTGTGTTTGAAACCTAGCTCCACCACTAATAAGCTATGTAGCCAGGATAAGTCATTTAGCCAGTCCAAGTCTTGGTTTTCTCATCTCTGAATGGAAATAAAAAATCCTTCTCTATCCACCAAACAGAGTTGCTTATGAGAATCAAATGAGATAATGGCTAAGTTTTTTAAACTTAACTTTAAAGTCTGATAAACTTACAGCAAAACCATTGATTGTATCTAATTAAACCATGATGCTATTGGGGAAGGGGGAATAGAAAGGTAGAGCCAGCCTTTCCTTTCCCTTTCTAGTTAGACATATTTCTTAGCCCTTATTTCAGTGCCAAGCCATTCAAAGTTGGTTTTCTCTGCTAACCCAAAGCAATGGATATGCTAAGTCAACCTCCTCAGAACTCAGAGAAACCAACCCATAATGTAGACCGATGGGACTCCAGAGCTGAGAGATCTGCTGGTACTCCTTCTTCTTGACTCAACTTGATTTCATAACCTTTGACCAAGAGTTCAGCATCCTGTATGCTACGTACTATAATATCGATTGTCTTTAGCCTGTGGATAAAATCACCTTCGTTAACACACACATCTTAAGAGTAGGGCTAAATACCTGGAGCACTACACAAAGTCTTACAAAATATAGCTGCCAAAATTAATCTCACCATTTCTAAAAGATGACTGAGTTTTGTAAAAACAAGAAAGCATAATACATATGCTGCTAATTTAGACCAATTCAAAATAAACTTCTAAGTGGCACTGGGGCACACACACAGGGTGAATTCATGAGAGAAATGATATGAGGCCAGAAAATCATTCAACATTAGAGTTGAAGATGTGCTACTCCTCAAGGTCACTGGTGGGGAGGGGGAAATGGGGAGACCTTCAAAAACTACTCTTTAACTGAAGATGTTTCTTTTCATTCTTCAGTTTTTCTTTCTTTTTAATGCTTTGTGTGTTGTTTTCAGAGATGTCTAATCAAACACAAAGAAGGTACAAAGTAGTCTTAACAATGCAAATTAAGTCTACTTCTGTCTCACTGGCAGTATATCATTGCAGCCAAATGAACCCACTCCATGTTACTTGGAACTAGAACCACCACCTATCACCATGGGTATATGCTCTTCAAAACCTGTAGTCTCTCTGGATTGTTCATAAAATACTCCATTCCTTTCCCTTGTGATCCCAATGGAAAATATTGACCATTAGACACAAATCATTAGTTCACTCACTTATTCAGATAGACAGTAGAGAGACCATATACATGGTCCATCTTCTCTACCAACAGATTGAGTTCTGATCGCAGAGCTGGGGCACTAGAACCAGATGGAGACTGATGAAGAAAGGTGTTACATTTCATGGAAACATCATCCAAGTCTGACCTCAGTTGATGCAAATCTTCCTGGGTGTGCTGTTAGCAAATAGATACAATAAATATTGAAGGCAGAAGTTAAGATTTAAAAAACAATCTTTGTTTATAATAACAAAATATTAGAAACAACCTATATGCCCATACATAACAGAGTGGTTGTATAAACTGAAATAGCCACACAGTGGAGAACTATGCAGCTGCAAAAAAGAATGAGGAAGATCTCTATGAACTGATACAGAGGGGTTCCATGGTATACCAAACAGAAAAAGCAAAGTCAAAAGAGTATAGTATGTTACCTTTTTTATACATAAAAGAAGAGGAGATGATAAAAATATACATGTATGTTTAATTATGCAAAAAGGAGATGGTAGGAATGAGATTGAAAGGGGAATGGGGTAAAGGGACTGAGAAGGGACTATACTTCTGACTATATCCTTTTTGTGTATTTTGACTTTTGGAACCATGTTTGTGTTTTACATTCTTAAAAAGAAGGGAAGGAAGGAAAGGAGAAAGGAAAGAAGGAAGAAACCCTAAAATGGAACCCAAACAGAAAGAATGAGTCTAACTCTATTTCAGATATAGAGTATCACCACATTGTTGGGGGAGGAGGTAGGAATTTCTGAACATAGTATCTAGGTGATAGATATACCTTTAGTCTAAAGACAAAAAGAATTATATACATAAATGTTGAATTCCAGTTAGTACAATTTTTATTATTGTTTTTAGTTTTTGCCTAACTACTAGTTAGCAATTTTGAAACTTTCTGTGTATACTAGGACCAAGCAACAAGTAAAATACTGTGAAAAATGTGGAGAAGGTTTTCCAGTACTGGAGAAGGGAGTTACAAATATAGAAAGAGGAAAGAACAGAAAAAGCCCTGTGTGGTAGTTTGGAACACTGCTGTGTGTGTGTGTGTGTGACATAAATAGATCAACAGCTGAGTACAGATATATCAATTAACCAATGTCATTAATATACACACATGTATAAAACGCACAGATAGATATAGATGTGTTTTTATGTGTGTAGGTATACATATGCTTTCTGTCTGCTGAGAGGGCCTACAAGCAATGATACCCCAATAACAATGAGTATATTTGGTTTCTAAATTTTCTACCTAACGGAAATAGGACTTCTTTGAGAAAAAGATGATTCCAGGATTTTGATTAGCAAAAAAAGAACCTGCAATATCATGTTTTGTCAAAAAGTAAGAAAGCATCCAGAGAATGATGGGGACATATCAAAAAGACATAGAAACCAGTTTGAAAAGGGGCTCCCCATTGGCTAAATCTGGTCATTTTTGAGCAACAAAATAATGATAATAACAGATTATATAAAATATCAAATAAAAGGAGAATCCATGAGTCCACAGTAATATAAATTAAACAAACAAGTAACTAATAAAAATGGAAAACTCTTCCTTTTGGTAGAATGGAAATTTTAAAATATGTAAGTAATGGCAGAATTAGAAAAATGGCTTTTCAGCAACTGCTATACTAATAATTGATTCAGTTAAGAATCAACAATGGATGCTAATCTAGCTGGTGAAAGGTTAATTCGAAACAAGATATTTACGTAGTTTTAAAGCATCTCTCCAAAAGACAGTAACTACAAAAGGGAAAATAATAACTTTATAGTGGAGAAATGTGGCAGACACCACCTTAACAAAGGGATCCAAATTAATATCACCAATAATGGGAGAATCAATATCATATACCTCCAGATATGATGTACCAGGGGCACAACACCATTTCTGCAGTATTCCTGCCAAAAATGTATTACTTAAATCTAATCATGGGGCATTCTACAAAATGAATTGCCTGTATTCCTCAGAGATGTTAAAGTCATGAAAGACAAAGAAAAACTGTTCCAAGTAGAGAACTAACTAAATGCAATGCATGATTCTGGATTGAATCCTAAACCAAAAATATTATTTTTTCTTTTGCTATAATGGATTAGTAGGTCAAATGATGAAATTTTAATGAGGTCTGAGCTTGGACAAGAGTACTGAGTCAATGTTAATTTCCTGATTTTAATCATTGTTCCACAGTTATGTAAAAGAATATCCTTGTTTTCTGGCAAATGCATTTAGGGGTAAGGGAGTATCGTGTCTGGAACTTACATTCAGTGAAAAAGAAAGTGTTATTATATATACGTATATAGAAGAAAATGATAAAGCAAATGCAGAAAAATGTTAGTATTTGGGGAATCCACATGATGATTGTAAGAGACTTCTTTCTACTATTTTTGCAACTTTCTATACATCTGAAATTATCTCAAAAGAAAGAGAGAGAGAGAAAAAAAAGGAGGTCCTTTAGAAAAGTCAAACATTTTTATTTTTTAGAGTGTTCTATTTTGCAGGGACAATTAGATTTTCTACAGAAAAGTAACATATTGTAGATGAGAATTACAGGCTTACAAGATATACCTCATACAGGCATCTCAGATCCCTCTCAACCAATGAAAATTGTACTACTCTCTCATTCCTCCCATTTAGGCTTATTAACAATGAGAAACATAAGAAAAACCACTCTTCCTCCTTAGCTATTCCTTTCCATTCCCTTTAAGCTCCCAGCTCAAATCTAATAATCACCAGAATTCTCTCATATCATCCCAAGTAAAAAAGTCCAAGTAATAAATCTAAACACCTACAGCAATGTTTATCTGGTAATGTGGAAATATACTAAGTACTTACTATCTTATGACATCTCTTATACTGAAGTTTCTAATTAATTGTGACTTCAATCTTTTTGTTCTTCTTCAAGGACAATGGGTTTAACTACACTATAAGCCAAAATAAGAGCTCTGGTAGCATAGTGCCTAAGGCACTTGATTGCTAACCAGAAGGCTGGTGGTTCAAACCCACCAGCCACTCCTCGGAAGGAAGGTTGGGCAATCCTACTTCCGTAGTGACACTGCCTCGAAAACCCAAGGAGGGGTCGCTATGAGTCAGGGCTGACTCGACGGCAAATAACAACAACAACAACATAAGCCAAAAAGAAGAATCTTGGTTTACTTTTCTTAACATGCCTCAGAAAAATTAATATTTGCTGCTTTTATTTCAAGAATAATACTCTATGTTTTTACAGCTTTTTGCTTTCACAGAAAGTTCATTATATGTATTATATCACTTAACTTTCAAAACAACTGTGAATCATGTATTATCATCTCCATATTAAAAGAAGCTAAGGATAGGTTAATTTGCTCAAAGTCACAAAGTGAGTATGCTTCAGAGCCCATTTTAGAATCTGAGTTCATCCTTGAATCATAGGACTAATGGTAACCGTATAATAAAAAGTAACACATGCACATAAGGGATAGAGGAGAGAGAAGGATCTCTACACCAAGCAACCTTAAAATATGTAGCCTAAATGCTCAGAACAATTTACCAGCCTGTTTGCCTTCCCAGCTTTGTAGGAAATGAATCAACATTCAGCTATACAGTGGGAACTGAAATCATGCTTCTCCACAGGTAAAAAGAATTAGTAAGGCTACAGGGAAGACTCCTGGGATGGACAGAACTATCCTGCCCTATGTCTTAGGATCCAGACCCTCTTGCCAGCCACTTCCTTCTGAAAGCATTTACTCTGCAGCCAACACCATTCTTGCTCTTAGGGCTTACCTCTTGCTCTGCAATCCTTAATGCATTGTCCTGCCGGGCATCCTCGTTGGTTCTGGAACTACTCAGGGACTGAATTCGCTTGACCAGCCTCTGTTCACACTCTTCCAGGCGCAGTCGGATATTCTTTAGCTCTGAAATGTACATCCTGGCCACTGTCTCCTCTTTGTCCTCTGGGAATGCACAACAAGCAAGTAGACCATGAGTCCCCATAACAAAGATCAGTAAAACTGAAGACAACAGTTTCACTTGCAGACAGAGGTCACCACTGGCTCCAATAGATTTGATATGGCATTAATGAAAGCCAGGCCTTATCTGGAGAACCTTTTGCCTGATCCTAAATTCTACACATTAAATACTGATCTTTGAGGATCGAAACACATAATTTCTACAAGAAAACATGATAGGTTGATTAGTAATGACAACCAATATATCAGTAGGCTTCTTCTATCACAATCTGATTTTGAGAATTCATCTCCACAAGTTTTTCTATATCATTAAGGTTTTAGTAACTCAAATGGTAAAATGTTGGTGATGTTATTTTCTAGTTTATACGAAGAGTCTAGCAGGGCTGTCATTCCACCATCCTCTCTCCATCTTCCCAAAGCACATACCATTCTCAATAGACTTCATCAGGTGCTGGAAGTGTGCTTTACAAGCATCCACCTCCTCTTCTATGCGTAAGCGGTCAGCCACTGAGAAGAGTGTAGAGTCACGGCTGTCCTGAAGAAAGTCTTCATAGTGGGCCTGGAGATTCTTCATGACCTGGTGGCACTCCCCAGGTGCTAAAGATCGAAGCTAGAGAGAAAACCAGGAGAAAATTCAATAGAATGAGAATGTAACTTTCTTTTTCTCAGCATTTTACTAAAGTTTAACACATACATAGAAATGTACATAAATCATCATTATAAATGTGTTGATTTTTCACTAATTTAACTCATCATGTAATTAACATTCAGCATGTGATCAGCATTTAGTTCAAGAAACAGAACATTACCAGAATTCCAGAAGCAAGTCTTGTATCTCCCTGGACATAACTCTATTATTAATAATAGTTATTTCACTGGCATTCCTCTAATACATACTTTTTATACAGAGGAGATATTTGTCATGCAAAGTGAAAAGAAGGCTGCAACCTTCTCCTTCCACCAAGAAGACCAAAGATATTACTTATTTTCATCAAGAATTTCCTTAGCCATTTCAGAAAAGCCAGGCCGCTTTTTCTTGTTTCTGAGACTCTCGGGTCCCTAACCTTGAAACAATATACCTAACTCCACTTTAGTTCATTTGCATGGAGTCTCACAGTAATTGGGACGGACACACACATACACACACACACCTACCTCCCTCCTTCTGAAAAAAGCTTGCCAAGAGGATGTGAATCTGAGGGGCAGTTTTCACAATTACCTTTTCCAGGTTCCAGCTCTGTACAATGTCAAGGTCCTTCTGCAGATAGTTCCAGGAAATAAGGCTTTTGGTGTTAACATGTAACTGGTGCCAAAGGGCCATTACCTTCTGATAAGACTGCTCCACCCTAGAAACAATACAGAATCTGGCTATAGCTTTTCCAGGACTTGAGCTCCACAACAGAGATCTTCCATGGACAAATGAGGAGCCCTGGTGGCACAGTGGTTAAGCACTTGGCTGCTAATGGAAGGGCTGGCAGTTTGAACCCATCTGCAGGAAAAAGATGTGGCAGTCTATTTCTGTAAAGATTCATAGCCTTGGAAAGCCTATGAAGCAGTTCTACTCTGTCCTATAGGGTCGCTATGAGTTGGAATCTAAAGGACAAATGTGATTGCCTTAGCAGAACTGAACTTACATGATGAGCAGAGAAAGACAGCCAATCAAATACTACCAACACAGAAGTCTTTTTTTCTTTAATTGTGATTTGGGTGAAAGTTTACAGAGCAAATTCATTTTCCATATAGCCGTTCATACACATTTTGTTTCATGACATTGACTATAATTCCCCACAATGTAATAGCTCTCTTCCCACTTCCTCCTGTAGTTATCTCTTCCCTGTGTCCTTCCTATGCATTCCTGCCCTCTGAGCTGTCTCCTTGTTCAAATACTGCCCTTCTGTTCTCCCATGATTTACCATTCTAAGGAGTTTATCTACCTGATGTAAATGTTCACCCTATATGCCTGTCTACTGTTTGGCTGGGAGCCACAGGAATGAGTTCAATCCCAGGCCTAAACGGTAACTAGGGGCCATAGTCTCAGAGGTCTCACCAGGCTCTATCAGATCAATAAACCTGGTATTTGTTATGATTTTGACTTTTGGTCCACCCTGTTCTCCCACTCTATCCAGGATGCCCTAATTGATGTCTTGTAAGGTTGGTCTGGTTTTAACAAATTCCCTTAGTTTCTGCTTATCTGGAAATCTCCTAATTTCACCATCATATTTGAGGGACAATTTT